TTTCAGATTTTTCTATAGTTTGCGTAACCAGGACGGTGAATTTTCTTCATTTTTCATCAAACATTTTGTCTTACCAATATTTATTATATCTGTCAATTTTATCAAAATCGCCCCGCTACGTTTGAAAATAATTCAAATTATGTAGTTTTTCCCATTGAGCTCCATTATAAAAATGGAATTTTCAAACTTAATATTTTAAAATTCTACGCGGTGAAAAGTTGCATATTGAGTAGTTATTTAATGTTATGGTGTTAAAAATTCAAAACAAAAAGGAATAAAGAAAAAATGCCACAGAGAAGTCTCAATAGAGTCTCTTTAAGTCACTATCAAACAAGATCAAGTAACAATGTACAGGCTCATATAAATCATGTGGGTCTCAGTAGATTTTAAACTCCCAACTAACAAGACAAACATAGAGTAATGTTATTAATCGGATGTTATTCATGCAGGAATTCCAATCCAGTTTTATTAGAAACTGCCTCTATGATGTATTCATCCAAGGTACCCACGGGAGGCCCTGAAGCAGGACTTGCCTTTGAATCCTCAACCATAATTCGCTTCATGAGACTCTCAATCCCTCGAAGTCTGACTACAATGCTAATGTTGTCATTAACATGAACTCCTATGCTTATTGTGTCAGGGTTCTCTATGATTAAACCCACGGGAAAAATAAAAGAATGTTCAATGAATTTATTCCGCACAATTTCTGACCTGTACAGAATCAGAGGGTGTACTTCGATTGAATTACTTATGTAGACAATTCTATGTTTTGGAAAAGTTGTGAAAACCATCAGATGTGCGGTGTAATACCTCTTCTTAGACGGTTTCTGAATAAATGTCCCATGTGAAATGCTAATATAGTATGGCCATTTGTAAACCTCTAATGGAGTTCCCCCACGTATGTGATCCTTTATATCATGAAACTTGTGATCTTTATCACCCTCGTAATGTACAAAACCACATGTCCCATCTAATTGGCAATATAGAACACGTAGCGGGTCTAATGTATATAAGAAATATAGATGGCCTCCTAGATCAAATGGGACCCAATGTTTATCTCGTGTCATTGGATTCTTCAATGCATTCTTCAGTCCCCTATCACGTGGAACCTTTGGTAAGATAAGAACTTTTTTCTCATAGTCCCACAGCAATGTTGTGTCTAAAGGAACAATGTTATTGTTCTCTTTTATCATCATAGCAGCATTAAAACTAACATATAAATGGCTTTTTAATCTGAAGATTCTTGGTTCAATTGGTCCATCCCCGATGGACCAGATTTTAGTAGCCATAATTCCTAAAATAGATCCATTTTCCTTCGGCCCAAAAGAGCTGTCAAACCTTTGAGTATACAGCATATTGTCCATGAAGTAATTTGCTGGTCTTTTGTCTCTGTCAAACCGTTCATTCATCAGCCATATCCTCAGCACTGAAACGATCTCTCCCCTGTGCCATGTAATAGCTGGGCTGTTGGCATATATAGTATGTTCATTTAAGGGGTCAATGAATTTATTATAAGCTTCTTGTTCAACCATAGGAGAAAAAGAATGAATCTCTGATGAGGTTATTTCCCCTTCCATATGTACTCCTCTCCCATGATGATCAAATGTATATCCATCTAACATAAACGTCAATTTAAATTTATCCTCAGCATGAATGTTAGTGTCACTTTTATGCTTCCTTTTAACTTTATATTGAACATCACCTGGAGGTCCTTTACCAGTGTAAGCGTTATCAATGTTGCCTATCTGTGTTATATAAAAGAGACTAGATAAGACCTGCACAAAGACAAGCACAATTATAATGGTCCAAAAGTTCCTCCACAAACTGCTCCCACACATTATAACTCTAAGGTTTAACATATCCCTGCTGATTCTACATATTTATTATCAAAATGGCAAACAAGTCTTTGTAGTCATTCAAATATAATTAAGATATTCTGGCATTTAAATTTGACTGAGAATTAAATGGCAATTAATGAAATTCATTTCTTTTATATTATTTACCATTTCCATTCCATTTTTACCAATGTCAGATAATCCTTAATTTTTTTGATTTTTTTAGAATTGTTGATCTTGTCTTAGAGTGATCCTTTAGGGTCTGTCATACCCAGTTTATTGACTACTGAACTACTGTCAGTGTAATGTTCCTCATATAATTCAAAACTGCAACTTTGCTGCAGTTTATTTAATTTCATACAAATCTTTAACAATATTATCTGGGTTTCAAGGGGCTTATGACATTGCTACCACAAATTGCCACTGATGGTTAGTTTCTATTAATAATGTGTGCTACAAAATCTTTTTGCCAATACATTAAGCATTATTAAAGGGAATTGCTGAGCCATCAAACAACAAGTAAATTCAACGTTAAACATTTTGTGAGTCAAATTCAAACAAATGATATCAATATTTAAACTAGAAAGTAAAAATATCAATCTAAAAATAGTAAAATGTATATGTGGCATCATTAAAACTATCAAACTTAAATCCCACAAAATCCCTTTAATTCAAAATAAATAAAAAAAGATCAGCTAATTTGTTGTATGCACCTTAATAAGTTGAAAAATAAATACATTTACATTTTGCTAAAAAGCATTGGTAAAGAACTAAATAAAAATTACACTGTTCAAAAAGTAGAAAACACTACACAATGATTATGCATAGACTCCAGTATCGATGCAATATGTTCTTCAACAACTTAACAACAAACAAGAAAGACAAACCAAGAATAAATACACCATTTATGAAGTGGAGAAACAGCAGCAGAATCATTTTGTTGGCTACTTTAATAGCATTGTTCACCATGCTACAATTCAGCCAGAAATGGTATCACACTATAAACACAGTGAACATGCATGGCAGTAATAGGGTGAAGTTTGATGCTGATGAAAGATTAGTTCATATAAGTGAACTCCCTGGGGGAATGTTCAAATCAACAGGACATTATCATCCACACATATACCATATATCCACAGCAGTGATCCATAACTTTGAAGACATCCAAGAAGAAATCCATAAGAAATTCTTTGATAGTATGGATGAGAATAAATACAGAATGAATAGTCCTGCAATGCTATGGTATAAGAATGAACTGCTGGTTGTACTACGGATATGGCTGCAGAATGAAAGACATTACGATTTCAAACAAGTGCCACACAATCTTTTTCAGGACAATTTCTTGTTCTGCAGAAGATATGATAGGAGCTTCAAACCATTAGACAGGGGAACTATCCTGGGCATACCAACCCCAAGGTACTCATCTGTTGCAGATGGCCCAATGGAGCCTAGAATGGTCAAGGTAATGTTAAAAAACAGCTTACACAAGTAGCCACTGGCATACTTAATTGATGAACCAAATCATGAAATAATGTGACATATCATACATATTAGAAACAACAAAGAAGCACAACAATCAGGTTCATAATCTAAATCTAGTCCATCAGTGTCAAATGCACTTCCAGCTGAGGTGAACAAATGTACACAACAGGTCTGATGCTATACAGAACTAAGCTTGTATTCGCAAATGCCAATAGCGGTTAGTGGATTAATCTAAAAATTTTCATAAATTAACCCGTCATTTTGAACTTATGGTACCAAACAACCCATTAGTCGACAAACAGTGGTCAGTGATCACGACTGTTTCAACGTGTCAGATTTGTTTGAATATACAAAAATGTATGTAACTTCCCTCAAAATTGAGCTAGAACCTTCAAATAAAAAGCAATTTAAGGCTCTTTTCTCCCTCTATCATCATGGTCATATTTTCATCGGTTATGAGGCCTGTCAACTGTCCCGCAATTTGCGTATTTGTCACGCATTTGCTGAAGAATTTGAAGTCACGCCAGTTTTTTTTGCGTGACAGAAAATGTCACACAAATACGCATTTTACCTGGTAATTGTCAAGCAAAAATATTTCTGTACAAAAAATTCTAAAACAGTTCGCCGATACAGCAAAAATACGAACACCAAAAAAAACGTACGCATTCCGTTCGGGCTTTTCACGCGAATCCCATATTTGTCACGCATTCCATTCGAAATTTTTCGTACCTACCTCTATTTTCAATAGTTCGTATATTGGTATGTGAATAGTTTTGATTATGATTTAAATCTGTAAATAGCAATCGTTACTTTAGCAGAGAGGTGACGTGTGTTAATTTACATGATGCAACGTGTAAGATTTTGATTATTAATCATAATTTAAGTTATCCCAATTTTCGACGAAATGTCCACTGAAGTGTAAATTGTTACGTCTTACAATGTCATAGGCGATCTCACCCCCCCCCCATAACCAATGAAAATGCTTAAAATGCTTTTTATTTGAAGCTTCTAGCTCAATTTCGAAGGAAGTTACATACATTTTTGTATATTCAAAACAAATCTTACACGTTTTCTAATGATCTAATTATGTTATATATTCGTATTTTTCGTTTTTTTGGTACCCGTTTTTTTTGACTGGGTACCAAGTTTGAACCCAGCATGGAGGATTTACTACCCGGTACCTATTTTTTTCTACAAACCCCCCTTTATTTAGATCAGGTAAGGTTATTTAGTCCCAAACCTGCGTGGTTCGTTGTCCAATACTCCGCCAAAAAATGAGCATACCGTTTCAAAGTACATTTTCCCTTATTAAGAAAATGTATTTTGTTTTAATTATATCAAGGGCTTATGCTTCTAAAATGGGGTCGCACAAGATTGGCCTCTAAAAACTTTTTGTATATATTTTTTTAAATTTGAATTAACTATGAGGTGGTTGGTTTTTATGGCCGACACCGGGACAATAAACCCTTACCTAAAGCTCTTAAAAAATCAGATCAGGGACTAGGGAGGTGGTAGCTAACGGCAAACATGGTAGGTACGATTCAAACTTAAATGAGTTTGCCCTCATATTCCAATCAACTCGGTAGCTGCTAGCCATTATTTGAATTCGCAAATACAAGCTTAGATGATTGTAAGGCAATTGATATGAGGATGCATATGTTGAATAATCTATTTACAGGTGAAGGATGATCTGCTGATCAGCTTCAATGCTCAAATTAAGCTTTGGCATCAGCAGATTGTGGACACAACTCTCATATGGGACTATGAGAACTACAAGGCTATCCTACCCATCATCAAGGATGGCAACCCGGCCATGGGAGCAGGCATCAATGATGAGATACCAAAAGATAAACACTGGATGCCATTTGTCATAAAGGACAGACTCCACTATGTGTATACATTAGACCCTTTGAGGATCCTTGAATGTAATGTTGGGGCAAACATGAGCTGTTGGTTTATTCACAGGGCAGATAAAACACCCCATGGGGACGTCCTATGGCAAGATTGGGATTACTTCCTTCGTGGCGGGACACCACTGAGTGAATACCAGTGGCCTTATTATATAGGATTTGCTCATACAGCTTTATATAGAGTAGATAACTCAAGACGCTACTTCACTACCAATTTGTTTGTTTTGTGTGTTGAGCCTCAATACCGACTGGTCTACATCAGTGGCAAAATAGAGGTCAGTGGCCAGCTTCTGAATCGCTTCCGCATCATCCGACCATTCGTCACATCAGATCCCTTTATTTTTGCCATCAGTTTAATCCTTGAAGATGATGATACAGCTGCCTTGGGTGTCCACATCAATGATAAAACTGGGGCAATATTGAGGATGAAAGGCCTAAAGAACTTACTAGAAGATGTTATGTTAGTTGATAAAAGAGAAGGGACAAAAGAGGGACCTCCACCAGGAGAAGTTCAGTCATTTGCAATTGGTTCAATCGAAGCTCAAACTGGAGTGATGTTCCAAAGAAAAACACCAAAAATAACAAGAAAATTTATTGGATAGCAAGTTATATTTCAAAACCCAAGCTTTACTGGTAATTAGTAAATATGGATTGAATGTCTTGAACAATTTGTGAATTTACAGTACACACTGGATACCTTCCTATTCATATAACTTTTCTTGTTATTAAATTAATACAAAGAACCTTAATAGCCACTTAATCAGTTACATGTAGGTATAAATTTCAAACTGTTCTCAATATGATACCACAATTATCACAGGGATTTATGCATTCGCCTTATGATTAATTAACTTCTCATGAAAGAAATGTCATGGCAGTCATGATTTAATATAGCAAAAATGTAAAAAGAAGTAGAATAAGAGGGGAATAAAGTAAATAGGCATGTAGTAAGCATTCTAAATTGCATAGTATGCTAGAAAATGAAGCAGTTCATTAAGGTTTTAGAGATGCATGGATAAGCTTGCCTGGAGTGAAGATTTATAGATGAGCAGGTTCTCCATAGTTACTTGGGGATGAGTGATCAATAAACCAGTCACTTGCAGTTAATACAATACATTGTATTTATTGATATTCAATATAATGAGAATTGACATTTGACACTTTTAACAGGAACCCATGCAATATAGGTATCATACATCCCACCTTCATTCAATAGACTAGATGCGAGTAGAAATAATCTTGATTTATGTCATTAAATATTCAAAATTCAGTCAAAGTGATGTCATATTTGAAATGTACATGTAAATACATACATCTAGAAATATGGTTTCGAAAAATGTTATTTTTTTGGGAAAATGTGACTTCTAGTTCAGGTTAATTCCCCATATAGACTAGAATCATATGATGATAAAAGCCTCAAGAAAGTGAAAGTACTTATATTTTAACAAGCAGGCATGAGACCTACATGTACATATATATTATAATACTCCCTTATATATGACAAAAGATTTGTGAGATTCAACGAGGAGTCAAAATGCACTAATTAGACAATTACTGAATTAAAATAATATTCTTCATCTCAATACAACTAGAAAAACAGCAACTCCACGGAGTAGCAAATCCCACCGAACAAAACATGTTTTGATAAATAGCGGCCATATAAAATTTGAGCCAAATCCATCCACTGGTATTTGAATTATCAAAGATTGTTTTTATGAAACATGGTTGCCATTTTGAAAATCAGCTATCATCTTTAGATTTCTTCTTTAGCAGAGCTCATATGTCCCAATGCATCAGCATATAGAGTTCAATCAAAATCTGTCAACTGGTACTTGATTTATCTAGGATTACATGTTAAATGAAAAATGGCGGAGATTTTCATAAATAACAGCCACCTTGGAAATTTCTTCTCAAGCAGAACTCCTTTATCTCTATACTCCAGTAAAAACATCCAAAATAAATGAAAAAATTGCAATACTTATTAAACCTAGTGCAACAAATGCATATTGATGAGTTTAAAGAGTTCAAAATCTAGAAAAATCTAAGTAGTGGAAAACATGTAAAATTCACTATTTGTACGCCCTGGTCTTATTTTATGAGGGGTACTATGATAAGCATTTATATTTTCTGTTGGATGCCCCTAATCACATTCAAATTTTCAGGGATTATGCATCCATATATAGTTAGTTGTCATGCAAAGTTTGATCTTGATTGGTCAATTGGTTACCATGGCAACACAATTTAATTGCAAAATATTGTAAATATTAAGGATAAATCTACTGTTTCCCTACAAACAGATGGTAGGTTGTCATTTTTAATTTTTCAAAATGGACACAAAGTTTAGCTTGATACATATTGAAGGAGTTTACAACAAGATAACATGATAAATAGATTAATAGGATGACATATTTGGCGCATGTTTGATAGCTACTGCTCAATTTACCACAAAGTGGGCGTGGCACTTTTTGTTATTACAATGCCAAATAATTTCATGTTGACAGAATCAAATTTACAAGGGTAATTAATACATATGTTATTTTCTGGTATGATGAGTCTAATCATCTTGTGTCAATTGGTTGCCATAGTAACACAACATAATATATGTAAATCGTTGGTAGAGGTCATTTCAGGTATTCCTTGTTCCTTAACAAATTGTTTATTACATTCATCCTTTTAGTGTATGATCTTTTTTAACAAATACAAGTTTGGATAATTGATATGTGTTTGCTATGATAACACAACTAATAATGCTGTTTGTTGAAATACTGCTCTGTTTGTCCGTCTGCCCGCCTGTCTGTCTAAGCATTTCCTGACCCATTTACTAATCACAGATTGGTGTTATATGTGACAAAATGGTAATTCTTGACATCTTAGACTCTAGAAGATGTACTGACTTAGACTATGTAGGCTGTATCAATCTTGGATTATGGATGCTGTACCCGTCATAGACTCTGGAGGATGAACCCATTAAACACTAGAGGCTAAACTCTCTGAGACTCTAGAGGCTGTACCATCTTAGATCCATTTATTAATCACAGATTGATGTTATATGTGACAAAATGGTGATTCTTGACATCTTAGACTCTAGAAGATGTATCAACTTAGACTATGTAGGCTGTATCAATCTTAGATTATGGATGCTGTACCTATTGTAGACTCTGGAGGATGTACCCATTAAACACTAGAGGTTAAACTCTCTAAGATTCTAGAGGCTGTACCATCTTAGACTCTTGGAGGCTACACCCATCTTTGGCTCTGGAGAGGCCGTACCATCTTAGAATCTTGGAAGCTGTACCCATCATAGACTCTGTATCTGGAAGGTGTACCATCTTCTCTTGAAGGCTGTTCCCAGAACTCATCAAAGGCCCTGGGGGCTATACCCATTGTAGACTCTGAAGGCTATACCCATAGTAGATTCTGGAGGCTAAATCATCCTAGACTCTTGGAGGCTGTATCCATTGTAGACTATGGAGGCTGCACCATCTTAGACTCTTGGAGGCTATACCATCTCAGACTCTTGTAGGCTGTACTATCTTAGACTCTTGGAGGCTGTACCTATCTTTGACTCCTGACTTTCATAGAAATCATAGACTATTGTGGCTGTACTATCTTTGTACTCTACAGGCTGAATCCAAATTATACTCTGAAGCTATACCATATTAGGCTCTGGAGGCTGAATTCATATTATACTCTGGGGGTTGTACCATATTAGACTCCGTAGGCTGTATTAATTTTAGATTATAGAGGCTGGGCCATCTTAGATTCTTGGAATCGAAGGTTGTAGCCATCATAGAAGTAGATGTACCCATTAAACTCTTGAGGCCATATTAGACTCTAATTGTTATCCTAGGCTCTGAATGCTATAGCAATCAAATGATCTGAAGGATCTATTATCTGGACTCTGGAGACTCATCCCTATGCTATATCTGGAAGCTGTACCATCTTACACTTGTGAAGACCGTGCCTAACTTAGCCTCTGGATGCTATAGCAATCATAGCCTCTGAAGGCTGTATCATTTTAGACTCTGGAGACTGATCCCATGTTACATCTGGAAGCCGTACCACTTCTAAGGGTCTAGAGGCTGTGCCATCTTAGACTCATGGAGGCTGTACCATCTTAGACTCATGGAGGCTGTACCATCTTAGACTCATGGAGGCTGTACCCATCCTAGGTTCTGAATGCTATAGCAATCATAGCCTCTGAAAGCTGTGCCATCTTATACTCTGGAGACTGATCCCATCTTATATCTTGAGGCCGTACCATCTAAGGGTCTGGAGGCTGTACCATCTTAGACTTATGGAGGCTTTACCCATTCTAGGCTCTGACTGCTATAGCAATCTTAGATTCTGAATGTTGTATCATCTTGGACTCTGGATGCTGAATACATATTACACTCTAGAGGCTGTATCATATTAGATTCTTGAGACTGCACTAATCTTATACTCTGGAGGCTGTACCATAAATATACTCTGGAGGCGGGACCAACTTGGGCTCTTCTGAACTATTCTATGGTCTCAGGTTCTACCATATTAGGCTATTGGATGATATGTTCTGGTATTGAAGCGCACCATATACGCTGTGGGTTGAATCATATTCCATGTTATAAAATAAGTCTTTTCAGAACATATGCACTTCACTATTTGCGTTTATTATGCTCTGTTACTATGGCAACCCCTTAACCAATCATGTACAGACTCACCATATTAAAGAATAACATCAGTATCCATGAACTCTATAAATATAACTTTGACTGATTTTGTAAAAATAACTGTTTTAGCAAATTATCACTGAAAAGTGCCACGCCCACTTTTGAGTTGATAAAGAGGTAGTCACCTAATAGAATAGAGTCCAGAGTCAAAGATATAATATAATTCATCACATTTATCATATTATCTTATTAAACACTCCCCAAATATGTTTTTAGGGTATATTAATGTTCATTTTCAAATGATTTTAAGAAAAATGGCAACATCTATTATTATGAGAAGCTTCGGATTTTTCGCAAGACAAAAATGGTGGCCATTTTGAAAATAGGCGATCTTTTGAACCAGGAGTCTCAGGGGGGGTTTCTATATTGATGTTGAACAAAAAATACCAATTGTTGACAGACAGACAGAACAGTCGGACGGATGGACAGATGGACAAGTGAGTGATTGCAATAGCTCACCATGTGAGCTAAAAACCATCCTCTACATATTCAGCAGCTTAAGACATATACCTTTTCCAAGCAATATACCAATACGCGATAATGTTTAGTTTTCGTTCAGTTTAGTTACCTCCCGTTAGAAGAGCTCTCATGTATGGTACAACTTCGCCTACATCCGGGTTCTTTCCCATTGGATTACACAGGGGTGCTATTTTCAATGCCGCACTGCGACTCTATTAAATATTTATGTAGAGTTGCATTTGCACAAATGATAGGTAGGTATGTAATTAAGATATATAGCAAGACTTTTTGAACTGTAAACCCGTAAATCTGAGGAAATCTGTAGTTGAAAATGCCGTCCAATTCCAATGACGTCACTGATTACCCAGAAATTGCTCAGACTTCATCGAAGATACGAAATAGCAATAATGTAACTTTGAATATCTGATTATCTGTCTGATTATTCAATAGATTGGATCATATAACTATGCTTGAGGGCTAGTGGTGCAACTCGCAAGAGAATGCTACTCGAGTAGAAAGTGTGAAAATGCCACTGTAATCGAGTACCACTCGCAAAAATGAGGGAAAAATTTAAAAAAATAAAAAACTCACCTAGTCGACTGTTTGAAGACCAAATAGATACAATTTCTTCGTTTCTTCTATATGTTATTGATGTTATATATAGTTTGTATCAATTTAGTAAGAATAAATGTAGTTATTCATGCCATAATTGTGTTTGTTTGTTTTTAAATATTTTCATTTTGTTTCCGGAATCGATACTTTGTTTCGTTCAGTGCATCCAAAAATGATCATTCCCGGGGTATGAGATCGTTGTTTGGGAATTCAATGCCTACTCGAGTTTGAAAAAAC